CCTGATCTCCTGGGATCTGCTGACTCCCGTAGGTCCCTGGGTGGTACAATCATAATGTACTCGTCGTGAGAATGCACGTTGGCCCTCCCCACCAGTCAAACTCTTGGCATGTTCACCCTCATCACTCCATATATTCCCATCCCATTCTTCCACATCTATCCACTGACCTGTGATCCTCCTAGAATTCCATAAAGGTATCCCTGTCATCGCCGGAGCTGCCTCCAGCTTAGATGGCTGGGAGACCAGCTCCAGTGGGGAGGAGAAACGGTTAGAGGAGGCAGAATCAACTTGTTCAGAACATAACTCATGCAATATTGCTTCATTCAAATTCAGACGCATCTGCCAATGGACAGCTTGATCAAGCTGTTCCTGCAGATGAGCATTTTGTGTTCTCAGACGTTCAAGCACTGTAAGAGCAGCCAAGGGACAGTGCGTCTAGCACCACTCTCCCCCTCATACTTAAGCTCCTTCTCAACCCACCATTGCACCTTGACAGGAGTTACAGGGCACTCCTCCTTACTCCAATAAACAGATGGACTCAATTTACAGAGTGCCTTTGCTACCCCATACCACAACCCAGTATTGGACCAACCCAGCATCCTTCTTTCTGATCCCTCTCCTTTCTCCCTCTGCAGCCTCTTAAATAGGTCCATGTCAAACGTTAGGGGAATCCCACTACTCACACCAATTATCTTAGAATGAACTACTAGGTTCAGAAGATTCCTTGCACTTGACCAAAGGACGTACTCACGATTGTTCTCACTCTTGCAAAGCATTATTTAAGGATACTCACAGAGGCAGGCAATAAGACAGAGCAGAGAGGATGATCACTTCACATCGGCTCTAGGTAGCAGCCGCTACTCCACATAGTTTCCCTGGCCCCGGAGTGTCTCGATCCAGGGATGCGATAGCTTGTGCCGGGCTCTGAGCAAGTCAGGATTCTTGCCAGAGTTTGAGAAACTGCCATAACTTAAGAATGTACAGCTTATATAGTCTGGAGTAAATAACGTTATCTCGAACTAGGGATTTGGTTATCTCAAGCTAAGAATTTGGGGATGAGTCGTGATCCAACACACCTGGTGTTTACCACATTCCGCTGTATTACAACATTCTGCTATCTAGGTTCATGGTTCGGTCACTCTCACAAAGCAAAAATCTACGTGCTATAATACCGGCCTACTATGGAGTCAGCATACAAAACTCTTGCTATGAGCATTAAGCAAAGCCCTTACTATTACGCTCGTTCTCTCTGATTTGGAAATACAGGTTCAAAATTAATTGTGTTGTTAGAAGCAGTGAACTCAGAACAAGGGGCACAGTGGGAGACATTACATCTCCAAAATTGCTCAAAATGATGCATTTCTGATGTCTTAATTAGGCCTGGATCTCTAAACTATTCAGCCTAAGAGATAAACATATTTTCCTGCTTCATTAGAAACGAGATTTGGTGTTCAAGTTGCAAATACTTATTATTAAACTGCCCCTTGAGTTTAAAAAGTCTTCTTGGTGCCAACAGGCTACTGAGGTCTTTCTTGGTGCTATCCTTATGGAAATTATAAGATCTATAAGACCTGTTGTCATATAAAAGCAAGTGACTGTTGGGGCTTACTGGTTAGACAAGCCAGTGTGTCAGTTAGTTGCTATTCAAATTCCCAATGGAAAACAATGTTTGAAAATGGAGTTAAGGTGAAGAGATCATATCAATAATTTAAGGGTAAAATACCATACAGGAATGCTTAAATTATCCCCAAACCAAGCATTACAAAACCAAAGAAATTAACAGTTGAGGTTAAATTTAAAAAAATCCAAACATATTAGACAATGGAAATGCAGAAGTAGGGCACCCAAACAACATTAATTCTGCACTGTAATGATGCCATGAAGCAACCGTTTCATTATAATTAAGGTACTCAAAGCATATGTAGTCTCAAATGAGAGCTGTAATGGGCACCTGCATAGTAGTGCTAAATGTTTTTACAGACAGATGAGGGCAATGTCTTTAAACCATATAGTTTACAGTCTAAATATAAAACCTTCATAAACCTCAGCTGACTGAATACTTCAAAAACAAAATTATATGGATAATCAGGTTTTTAAAATAACTTTGCCTGGACTGTGTTCACAACACTTTGATGTTTGTTTTCCATAAATATTCTACCAAGATTTTTAGTGGCACTAATGTTGGTATAAAACAGCTACTTCTGGACAAATGCTAGAAAATATTTCTGGGAAGCAGATTTAAAAAACGATGGGAATATTTTCACAGGAATGTTCTCTTATTTGATATGAAATGAACCAGGTGGCTTATCATTTCAAATGAGCAATTCTTAAATATTCTAACATTTTCTCTCTCACAATTCTTGAACAAAAAAACAGCTGAATTTCTCATTTATTTACTAGGAATTATTTCTAAGGTTCCAACATGGATGAAGAATTGTGGAAGAGCTTGTGACAAGAAGGAGGCTGCTAAGCAGTAATTTACCATATGCTTGTTTTGACTTGGCCTTTTTTATTTTGTTATTGCAGAGAGCTGTCCCTTGGGAGTGGGGGTGTGTGTGAATCAGGGCAACTGCCCCGGGCCCTGCGCTTTGGGGAGCCCCGCAGAGCTGGGCGGAGAGGCCATGGCCCCTCCCATTTTGGTGGTGGCTGCCACGTTTGAGGTTTTCCCTGCCCCACGTGGTGAGAATTTCTTTAAGTGTGTTCCAGTTGGAAATTCCAGCCTCCACTTTTCCCCGCTTGTCTGGTGTGCTGTGATGTTCATTTACCTGTGTAAGTGTGCCATGGGACAGGAAAGGTTGGGAAACACTGCCCCAGCCAATGCCCTATCTTTGCAGGGGTCCCATAGGCCCCGTATGGTGTTAAGGGGGACCCACACAGGATGATTTGCCCCAGGCCCCACAATCCCCTAGGGCTGGCTCTGAGTGCAGATGATTTGTTTAGTTAATATTTTATTGAGTAAGGGGTTAGACTTTACCTATTTCCTAAGTGGAGGCATCTCTACCTTTCTTGAGTTATGAAAGAAATGTACAGCAGTGTTTCAAATATATAAACTGACCTGAAGAAGCATCCTTAGCTAATATGATAGGAAAGGGAGAGCAAAACACATACATTATCTTTCTTGATGAGGAAATCTAACAAGCAGCTCAAGCATCTTCACACTTAGAAGGGTAGGCCTCTCTTCAATGCTTCCTGTTAGGGTGACTGTATTTGGATCTTGGGGAACACTGAATTTGCAGCTGAATACAAAGCTATAGCCTATGGCTCAACAAAGCTGCTAACCACAAGGCAGAATAATATATTAAAAGTAACAATGCAAGATGCTTAAGCAAGCATTTTCCAAATAATGTGGTAGTGTTGTAAGATATATAGCTCATTGTGTAAGAACAGAATGCAGCCTATCAGCTATTGTCAAGAGATAAAGCAGAAGTAAGACCATGGAGATGAAGCAAGAAATGGCAAGTGATCGAAGGAAGTGGAGGTCAAAGTCTTAGGCATGCACTCATAGCAAAAAGACATGTAAATAGGTAAAATACATAGGTAATGCCATGCTAATGAAACAAACAGTAAACAGAGGCAGATCTTGAGATAGGAGGAAATAAGGGTGGAACAGAGGAGGGACAAAGGTGGAGTTAATGTTAATGAGCATGAACCAAGGTGTATAAATGTGGAAAGAATTAATGTTCGGGACAGCTCCCCAGTTTTTTGGGAGCTAGTCCGAAGCTGTCTCCATTTTGAATAAAGCTGTTGCTAGCGATGTGTGCCGGTGTTTGCTCTCTGAGCAATTGGATCATCATCTCCCTAGTCGTTGGGTGCCGCATGGAGTCAGGGTCTAACACTTCCTATTAGTTGAAGTGACTGTTCTAAATCTCACTCTAAGTCCCTAACTCAGGACTGCGGGATTCCACCCTGGAGGCCAGGGACCTAAAAGTTAAGCCCTGTGACGCTGAGCATCCCAACATGGAAGTCCCTTTGCAAGGCCTAATTTGTTTTTTGGATGGATTGTATGTACTTAAAAAAATAACTTGGCTTAATTTTATTTATCTAGAGTGACAGGGATATTTCATCTTTGTTTTGTTAGGAGGCAAAGTTAAAACAGGAATGAGACTGTTCATTGTGGTTATGTTAGCATCAGTGATGTAGTGATCACTGAGCATCTGGGGTGGGGATAGGGACAGGGAAGGTTCTGAAAACCACAGAAGATGTGGGGGTGGGAGTGACACAGTAGCATTGATGAGAAGGGATGTCTCATCTACTTGTGTGGCCGCTGCTGCTACTCAGCATCAGCAGTGTCAGCTCTGCCATGGCTGGGCTTCCAAGACAAATCCTGGGGAAGTATCATTCTGCTGATCCCTGGACTACCTCTCCTTCTCCTGGCTGTGCACTACTATGGCTGGGCATTGGCACCACATGGCTTCCCCTGCTGTGGTAAGTACTCCCGAGAGGAGAAGGGTAGCACCATGCTACTTGTTCCCACCCTCCAGATACACAGCCCTGAGATTCCCCTCCTATAGCAAAGACTTGTACTGGGGCAAATCCTAGTGCTCCATCATAGTCGGTGCCTGGGGTGAGTGCCCCACCTTCCCTGCCTTAACTACCCTCACCTCCTAGGGAAATATGAGAGTGTGGGTCTGGGAACAGGGAAGTAAACAGAAAGAAAAAGAGGGCCTGTCTTAGTAAGAGTGTTGAAGATAATAGGCACCTTCAACATGTCAGGGGAATTCACTTCAGTAAGTGTCAGATTGTGAGAAAAGCCCAACCCAAAGGCATGGCAGATAAACCAGCCCTTGAAAGTGCTTTGGGTAGAAGGGAGGGCCCTGCAAAAGGATGCTAAAGGCACATTAGGAGTAGTTACTGTTTGTTACCGCTTCAATCTTCTGGCAATAAAGTTCTGCACAGATTCCCAAATGAGCATTTGTGTCTCTGCATATCCCCTCCAGGCTGTGAGCAACACTTAGCTCAAGAACATTATTTTCTAAGCCATCATATACAAATGAACTTACTGCTTTGGATACAAGGGACAACATGTCCAAGCAAGTACTTCTGTATTTTGAGGTGCATAGTTTACCCCATATAGTTTTATTGCCAATATAGTTTCCCGTGGAAGAGACTTGATTCGAAGAGGAAAGGTAACCCTGAAAGAAAGTCAGAAAAAGAAAAAAAATAAAATAAATGAATGCACACTTTAATGCTGTTGTGTGTAGTTACCACTTTTCACATTTTACTGTACATTGCAACTGAATTTACTGAAAAATGAACTGCAAAGGAGCAATTTTTTGAAAGAAAATGCAACTAATATATCTATTTTACATTGTGGCTGCACAGTTAACCTCAAGTCACATTACAGGAGAGGTAGCTCCTACAGTCTAATCCACCAAATGATCAATCACTAAGAGAAGGGGAGGACTAAATTTGGTTTTAGTGCTGCATGCAAAAGCCATTCAGTTAATATGAACCATTTTAGATTAGAAAGTGAATGAAAAATGGGTTATAAACTCATGATAATGGGTTAACTTTTTCTCTCAGAGAAACATAGTTTCATATTGGTAGGGTCAGAAGGGACCTGAGCAGGTCATCAAGTCTAATCCCCTGCCATGGGCAGGAAAGGATGCTGGGGTGAAACGACCCCGGCAAGGTGTCTATCTAGCCTCCTTTTAAAGACCCCCAGAGTAGGAGTGATCACCACTTCCCTTGGAAGTTGGTTCCAGATCCTAGCCACCCTGACTGTGAAGTAGTGCCTCCTGATTATCTAGTCTGAATCTACTCTCCGTCAACTTATGGCCCTTATTCCTTGTTACTCCCAGTAGTGCTTGGGGGAACAGGGACTCCCCCATAGCCTGCTGGTCCCCCTTGGCCAGTTTATAGATGGCCACCAGATCCCCTCTCAGCCTTCTCTTGTGGAAGCTGAACAGGTTCAGGTCCCATAGCCTCTCCTTGTAGGGCCTGCCCTGCTGACCTCTGACTCATTGGACCCGCTTGTGATGCGTCTGTGGATGCATGACAAAGTTCGGTTAGCCTTCCTGACTGCGTCCTCACATTGGTGGCCCATGTTCGTCTTGGAGTCTATAATGACTCCAAGATCCTTTTCTGCCTCTGTGCTGATGAGAAGGAGTTCCCCAGCCTGTAGGTATGCTGCTGGTTCTTCCTCCCAAGGTGCAGTACCTTGCACTTGTCAGTATTGAATCCCATCTTATTCTCTTCCGCCCACCCCTGTAACCTGTCCAGAACCGGTTGCAGCCTGTCCCTCCCTTCTAGTGTGCCCACCTCTTCCCACATCTTAGTGTCATCTGCAAATTTGAATAAGGTGCTTTTCAATCCCTCATCCAAGTCGCTGATGAAGATGTTGAACAGCGTGGGCCTGAAGACTGAGCCCTGTGGGACTCCAGTGCCCACATTCCTCCAGGTTGAAAATGACCCGTCCATCACCACTCTCTGGGTGCAGCCCTCCAGCCAACTGGTGACCCATCTGACTGTGTAGGCATCGACACCACAATCTCCTAATTTTTTAACAAGAATGGGTTGTGAGACAGTGTCGAAGGCCTTCCTAAAGTCCAGAAAGACTACGTCCACAGTGACACCTGTGTCCAAGGATTTTGTGACCTGGTCACGGACAGCTTCTGTTGAAACCAACTATGTGCATATATCCTGGGCACAATGTGATGCCATTTTCTAATTTATGCATGCATCACAAATGTTTTTTCCAGTGGAATAATTAGTGTGGGACAACCAGGGCAACTGCCCTGGGTACCAACATGGGGGCAGGGGTGCAGGGGAAAAAAATGAAGCAACTGTCACCACTCAATCACACTGGCAGCACAGTGGCAGTCATAAGTCACTGCTGCCCCTCATGTGTCACAGCTGCCCCAGGTGCCCAGCTGTATTCTTATGCCTTTGTTTTTTTTCAAAACACATTTTAAAAATAGAGATAGTTTTAAAAGCAATGCAAGTCACAGCATTTTCAGTAAATCTGTATACATTAGCTTCATTTCATGTTTGTAATTATCATGAACATGTTGGCTGCTTAATTTTTTTCAGAAGTTGTATAAGCTAGTTTAAAATATTAGTTTGCATGAATTCAAATAAATAAGGTATTTGCATACAGAAGGCAACTCTGCAAGTCACTAGTTCAGAGCTCTGCAAAGCTTTATTTTCTCTTTTTCCTGAAATGCAAGTACATGTTCAAAAGGGCATTTTTGATTTTTGCTGAGAACATTGCAGAGTCAGATTTATCAACTAGAAATGGAAATTAATTACATTTTCTACATGTACAGAATCAATAATCAGAACTCAGGGCTAAAAGAGCAACTTCCAGAGGCAAAGCAAGCATTTCAGAAAGTACAAATCTGGACTAGCTTGAACTTTAAAAACTTGAGATAAATCTAAATTATACAGTGAAGAATTTCTGTCATTCTACATTGTTTAATGGAATGATACAATTGTTGGTGCTTTTAAAAATATGTATAGTCATTCCTCAAAGGAGTAAACAACTATAGGAAACTCCACTGAAACATTAAAGCATTAAGGCTAGAGCTAGTGAAGACTGGATAGAGGGGCAGTGGAATTTACACAATTTACATAAGCAAGAGCAGGATTCTACCTCAAATCATTGTAAATCTGCCAAAATGCCATTGCTTTCAGGAGAGTTGCTCTGAATGCACACTGGAGTACCTTGGTTTCTACTGAAATGTCCGAACCAATTTCCAAATCAGCTATAATGTTGAAATTTTGTACAATTAACCCCCAGCTATTTTTGGAAGCTCGGGGTTAAATCGAATATTCCCTTATGATGTAACCAAAATAATAGAAGTCTCTGGCCACATCACATGTATGCAACTTCATTATTAGTGCTACTAAAAGATGCACATGCAATATTAACATCATAAAAACTTCTATCCCTATCATTTGCTAGTGATACAATTATTACATGTCTATATTCTTTATCTCTCTTGACCATATTAGTTATACAGTTGCACTGCTGGGAATCAGAATTCTATGGCAAACCAAAAATCCCATCAGGATTAATTTCTTTTGATAAAGAACAACTCTATTTACTTTGTCTTCCCTTCAGATAATTCTGATTCTCTCTAGACTTAAATATACACCAGCAAATAATTTTCTTCGAACTTCTGATAAGAAATGAATGTATTAAGAAAATGATAAAAATAAAGTACTTTAGAAAACAGACTTACCAAATACTTATCTTAGGCTGCATTTTTAAAAAGCCTAATCAAACTTAGAACTACAATAAAATATACAGTACCAGGTATTTAGTAAAATTATTAGCTTTTTATCATTTAAATGCCATAACCGTGTCAACTGATTTGATCATACTTACCATACTACACTTATACTAAATGTATAATGTCAGTGCTCAATATTGAAAAGGCAACATTTGCCAGCAGATACCCAGCTGTGATGTTTTTGTCATCAATTAGGATAGGCAAAAAGGGGCAGACAAGGTGATAGAAAGAGTCAGTTGGTATGACATGCAAAGTAAGAGAATTGGTCTGCCTGCACTTCTACTATAGATTTATCTGAGTGTCTCACAATATAGGGCTTACAATAACAAATATTATAGCCTTACACTGTCAGAAATATTCACAAAAAACAAATTGAGGAAACCATCTTTGCCCTACATGAAGGTATGGACTTCTTGTTGCTCATTGCTTTCTGTGCCCCCAAGAAACTATTTCTGGAGTGTTTCTTGCTTTTCTGCTTGGGACTCTATTGGCCTGCAGTCCCCAACCTTCTTATCATGTCCTGAGGAGGAGGAAGGACAATTTGAGTTAAACTTGTTTGGTGATCTTCTCACACCAAGTTTTCTACATAAGACATCAAGGTAATTGCTGACAAAACTGGCTACCTAGGAGCACTTAAAGGCACTGCCATGGGCACCCCCAATATTTATGACAGAGCTTGAAGCCCATTTGCTCCACAGCTGCCCTCTCACCTCCCTGGTACCCCTCAATGAGACTGTCATAATATGGACACATGGGAAAGAATCTATAGAGAAATTTCACCAGGACTTTAACAGCTTCCACTCCTCCATCAAACTAATGCTGGAATACTTCACTAAACAAATTAATTTCCTGGACACTATAGTAAAGGTTTGCAATGGCCACATTGCCATCACACTGGATTGGAAACAAATCAACCACCATAGCTACTCATGCCACCAGCTTTCACCCTAAGCACATCACTAGATTCATCATCTACAACCAAGCTCTATATTACAGCCATATCTGCTCTGATTGCACCATTTGGAATGAATACCTTAAGGATCTGGAGCAGAAACTCCTTCAGTTACAATACAATCCCAAAACTGCAGCCACCGAAATCAAACAAAGCAATATTCAGACCTTGCTCCAAGCCTGCTACAATACCAATCGTGGACAATGACATCAGAGTCCCTTTAAATGTCACCTACAACCCCCATCTTGAACACCTTAGATTTATCATTAATGACCTCCAAACCCTCCTGGAAAAGCTGACCATCTTAAGACCGACCTGAGGAACAAAGCTGTCCTGATTTACAGACGACTTCCCAACCTCATATGTCACCTCTCAAGCAACAGATTAACTAACTCCCATCCTCAACAAGATACTAGGCCTTGCAATGGATCCAAATTCTTGCTCTGTCCCCACTTCTATACAGACCACATCATCACTGGACTGAGTAACAAGTATAATATCCAAGGTTCACTCACCTGCAACTCCACCAGTGTCACATATGCTAATACTTAATTACAATGCCTCTTTGCTATCTATATTAGACAGACAGGGTGATCTCTACAGGCAAGAATGAAAGAGCACTGATCTGACATCACCTGCAGAAACACACAAAGGCCTGTGGCAGAACACTAGCTACCTTGGACATTCCATTGCTAACTTCAGGGTAGCTGTTCTCAGGCAGCAAAAATCCCAAAACCAGTTTGAATGGTACACTGTGGAACAAGAAATCATCCACAGACTGAGTTGTAAGTATGGTTTAAACAGAGATTTTGTGTTCTTGTTTCATTATCTGGATTAGCCTTTGTTCCTTTGAATTCTTTGCTTGTATGCCTCTCCCAGCTGTCTGTCTTCCACTTTCCTCCTTTCCTATCCCTCTACCTCTCCCCCTTCCCACCTTTTATATTCAAACCACTTTACTTTATATACTGCTCTAATGCTGTCCTTTCACAGCACCCGATGAAGTGAGCTAGAGTTCACAAAAGCTTATGCTTTCTGTATAGCTAGAGACAGAAGGTACACAAACTGATTTAAGTAATCAGAAACTGATTTAAACCTGTAACAGAACAGAAGTTCAGTGTACCTAAACCAGTTTCAAAATGGCTGAAACTGGTTTAAGATAAACCTGGTTGAATGCAGTATCAGACTTAATGGATTTATAGAAACTATGAAACTATGGGTTTGGGTCAAACCAGTTTATGAAACTTCTGTCCCAGACCCCTTCCTGTGTTCAAGTTAAATCACAGTCCCTCAGCATCCCATCATGCTTTCCATCCCTGTCTGCTCCCCCTGAGAAGGGTTGGGGGTATGGAGAGGCAAGGACTGCCTCCCCAGGCAAACCCCAGCTGGGGTCAGGGAGGTGGGGGTTAAACACCCCATCCCCTTCTCAAATGTACTGCTGGCTGTGACTGTGAACTATAAAGACCAGAAGCACCTGGAAGCAGCCCCTGCCTGTGCATGGAAGCAGAAAGAGTCCTGCTGCTGTGAGTTTGCCCTGCAAATCTTAGAGACCTTGAGGGCAGCAGGAAGAAGCAGCAAACATGCAGTCCATGATAGCTGCGCTAGACAGCTATGCTCTATTGCCCACCCCACCCTGCCGCCAGCTTCTGGCCTGAGCCATTGAAGGCATACGGCTGAAATTCCTGAATCAAAAGTAAATGCGTGTCCAGTTGTTTCTCATTTTAAACTCTGCAGTTTAGACTAACCTGCACAGACTGAATCAATTCAGCCTCGGGCTTCTTGACTGTCTGTGCTTAGCCTATATCTTATTTAGTTAGTCTGTAGGGTGCATATCTGTCCTGCCTTCTTCCTGAGGCGTAACACTCTACACAAAGAAGTAAAAGCAAATACAATTTACAAGCATGTGTGTGTTCATGTAAAAGTCCCTTGGGGGAGCAGAGGAACCTTATTGCAGAGGGTCCAAGCACCTGCACTGGGTCTGAATAGCTTGAAACTCAGTCTCTGCTCCCTTGCATTGTGGGTTTTTTGAAGCTTTTTTACCAGACTGTTTCCTCAACTGCTTCTCTGCCCTCAGGACTACCCAGTGAGTGAAAACTAGGCACAGCCTGGAGTTGCATTTGCTTTCTTATTCAGTTTATGTTCAGTGGGAAGAGATATAAAAGTACTGTCCTCAGCCAACATGGCTGCTTTCCCTTCTTCTCTGGCTTCTCTGCTCCCTTCAGGTTCCTTGGACTAAAGAGAGCCATTTTTCACATGAAGATGAAGATACATAGGATCCTTTTGGTCCAGATGTAACACAGATTCAGGCAACTTCTATCCTGTACTAGGGCCGAGAATAATGACCTGGATTAAAGAAATATGGTCCCAGTTTTTAATTTATCCATTCTCTTTCACTTGATATTGATGCAGCAGCATATTTATAATATTATTGCTGCAAGTCAAGTGAGCTGACAATGTAACTAGAAGACAGTCATACTGCCCTACATTTTCTGAATCTAATATTCATTGTGTAAAATCAGATGGGCAAGAATAGTTCAAAAGAAGATTAACACTTACTTTTCAGTCCAGTTTGCCAAGAAAAAGAATGATTTTTTTACTGGTGTATTTTTGCAGTTCCTCATTTGATATATTGTCTTCCCACCATAAGTTAATGAACAGAAAAAAGAAAAAGCTCTGTAGCTACGAAGAAAAGGAAATTAAAATGATTAAGTGCAATTTAACATACCTAATGGATTAAATTCAGGGTTAACTATTCAGAAAACTGGAAGGTTTGTTCTTGTTTATAGAAAGAAGTGAAATAATGACTCTTATGCTAACATTTTTGTAAGAACAGATTATTCCCTTATGGTTAGGTGTCAGAAGTGGTAGTCAGGCAAGGTTCTTTGGGTAGATGTGATATCTTTTCTTAGACCAAATAAAATAATTGGAAAAAAGTTCTTTGCAAGCTTTGGGGCACAAATGCCATTCTTTAGGCATTAGGAGACTCTGCTGCTGTTATCCTTAGACCAACATGGGTATAACCAACAACCCTGCAGAAGTGGTAGTCTGAACTTCTGGGTTCTTTCCCAGGCCATGTTACGGCATTATGCCCGATCACTGAAATCAGAAGGAGTTTTGCTATTGACTTTATATGCCAAGAATAAAGCCCTGATTGTATTACTTCAGTCAGCAGTAAACTTCTTTGTTGCCTCCATTTCCAAATCTGTAAAGATTTAATACATGGTGGCATTTTTATGATTAAGAGGGCCTGTGCTGGTGTCTTTAAGATGCTCACCTAATTAGATTTAGTCATAATTAACATTTTGGGTTCATATTCAATATCAATGTAAGATTAGGAGACATCATTCCCAAATGGTCAAAGAGTGTGAGATCACCAATTCTACCTTGTACAAAATTCCTCTTTCAGTTTCAGTACACATTCTGAATGAAAATTGTTAGCATCAGCATAGAGCTAGAATAACAAATGTGAACAACTAATCTGAAAAGATTTGGGGATTCAAGGTTCATCTTTTGCCTCTCTTAGAAGAGTGGTTGTTGATCTTTTCCATGATTATTCGAAGGAATCATAAAATTACTGTATGAAAAATGCTTCTTTTTAGCTCAATGAACAAAGGATTCTGCAGGGAGAATTTTATGAGGAAAAAAGAATTCAATACTTTATTGTAACAAACAGGAATTGTATCTTTTTAAATGTGGCAACAATGTTATTTTAATGTTTCTTTTGCAAACATTTACAAAAAGAAGATTGTTCAACAAATAATAAGCACTGATAAAACTGAATCCTATGTTTTATTATTTAAATAGTAGTATTGTACTCTAAAAACTCATGGTGCTTTATAAATCATCTGTGTCATAATGAACAGACACTCTAAGATAAGAGACAGATCTTATTCTATTTATCTGGCACCTAAGTGGCACCCAAATGCAATCCTATTTCATCTTGCTCAAGTCCCCCCCCAGAAAGAGAAAGGCAGGTACCAGAGCTGCAGAGAGGAAGACTGAGTTAGCCACTGAATGTTGTAAAGGCTGGAGAGAGGAGAGGGATATTTAGAAAGAACAAAGAGTCATTTTCTCCTATGCCTATATATGGAGCTCAAGCAATCAGGAGCCTCAAGGGCATAGAAATTTCACATCTTAGTGGCAAAACATAGGAATGGTAGAGCCATCTGAAGAAACAGGGCAGTGATTATGAGTCTGTGTTACCTTATTACTCTAAGTAAAGCAAATTTTCTCAGATTTTTAATAAACTGCTAATTACAGTTAAATGTTGTATGGTATATTATTTTTGATGATGGTCTAATACAAATGATCCCACTGTTTTTTAATCAGCCATTTGAAATGTAAGCTAAAATTGGAGCAAGGGGAAAATATTAACAAAAAATTGGAAAATAATATTTCCCCCCATAAAAAGAAATGCCATTAGACTGTAATCATTTGCCCTCTCCCAATTGCATGGTGTGGTAAGGGGAAAATATTCCCTTTAGAAGACATAAAACCAGCCATTTGAAGAGACCACAATTTAAACAAATAAACTATGTGGTAGAGATTTTTTTGTGATATTTTTATTATAGTTCTCTCCCTCTGATTTGCTCTGTGGAGTTTGGTGTATCAGATACACTCAGCCCAATAAAAATATACTTACTTCATCAACATCTGTAAACAAAAAATAGTACACATGCTTAGTCTGATAAGCATGGTGTAAATAAGTCTACTCTGAATATAAGGGGTAAGACTGCATTCAAATTTCATGTAATCCAGGACAGTTCTCATTGGCTCCATTAAAAAGGGTTCAGCCCAGAGTTGCTCACGGTCCTGGAACCATATTCATGTTTATTCCTAGCCTTTGGCCAGGGCTGTCCCTAGGGGTGGGCGAGTGGGGTGGCTGCCCCAGGCCCCACACTTTGAGGGGCCCTGCGGACATTCCTGTACAGGCCCTGCCGCAGGGCAACTTCCTTACTCAAAATAGATTTAAACTTAACCCAAGCTATTTTGGTGGCATCACAAAAGATCTTTCTTGGGTGCAGCAACCACTATAAGGGATAGAGGATCATAGAATCATAGAAAATTAAGGTTGGAAGGAACCTCAGAAGGTCATGTAGTCCAACCTCCTGCTCACAGCAGAACCATCCGCAACATAAAAATATAGAAAATTATGGTTGGAAGAGATCTCAGGAGGTCATCTGATGGTCATCTGAGGATGCAGGACCTCTTTTAAGCTATACTACTGACACCTCTTACCTTTTCACCCAGACTTCGGGGATGTTATGGGCTGCATAAATAATGAAGCCAAGCTGTGAATCCAAGTTGATATCAGCACACACAGGGCTGCTAGGGATTATTGCAGACTGAAAATTTGTATCAAAGCTTCTGCTGTAAACATAGATGAGGCGGGAGATGGCTGCAGACAGCTCTCTCACAACGTTCTCTATTAAGACTGTGGGGAGAAAAGTAAATAAAGGTTAGCAACAGGTCATCTATGAAGAAGCATATTTATCTTAAGCCATCAATGATGGCTTTGAAATTCTGCCTAATAAAATTTAATTAAAGTGACATAACCTACCTAGTGAAGCCAATTAGCCATCTGTGCAGCAGAAACCAGCCTTAGCTCTTTTCTGGTATTTATCATCAACAGTCTTTTATTACAGTATCATCACATGAGAGCATTTTCAGAGGAAGACTTTGTAAACTACACTAAGTCTGTGTGCTTCAGACATGTTAATTTAAGTGTCTAATTCTATAATACTAATTCTCAGTCGGTGAGGGTATTTGTTATTTAGGTGTTCTGTAAATTCTGCAGGTATGCAGTTCTTTTATCCAGGGAAATTGGCAACACAGTGGAAGTGGTAAAAACAGTGCAAGAATCTATGTTTAATACACCTATATGTTAATAATTGATACAACTGTATTTGCATATGCAACAGACAACAAAAGAATACCCAGAGGAGTTTTCCATCTATTGACTCCTCTGTGAAATCTTATGAAATATGAACTTTCATTTCTACCCAGCAGAACATTTACAACCTTTTCTCCAATGCCTGATGAAGGGTGTTCATGGCCCAAAGCTTGCAATTAAAGACATTTTTTGCAAAAATCTTGTTGGTTTAATAAAAGATATTATATCTACTGGGGGTCCCGATTGCCTTTTCCTCTAGACCTATACTGCTACATCTTGGATACGCAATAGCTATAGTTAACAGTCATACCATAGTGTTGGGTGCAGAAATATTCGAATGGATTGTGAGATAAGTATACCTAATATAGGGCTATACTCTTATTTGCACCACACCTTTTCTCTCATAGCTCCAGTTGTCCCTTGCTGTGTTTCTGTACTCATTGGGTATGCACAGTTAAGTCAATCTAAAGCCCAGGTGTGCAGGTTTTAAGCCCTGATGTGCAGGCATTCAGAGGGCTTAAATCATCCTAAAATTGATACTCCCTACCTAAAATTAGTTCACCTTAGAGGTGAACTAACTTTCAACTGACCTAGATTACCCCAATCTAAAATAAATTAACCTGCTTCAGTGAATGCCTATACCTGTTCACAGCACAGCTCCATGGCTGGGAAATCCCAGCCACTAAACTCAGCCCTAGGGCTGTGCTGTTTGACTGGCCTATTTTTAGCCCTCCCCTCCCCCAGCCATAGATCCACCAACCTCTGCCACAGACTTGCCAGCCCCTACCCCCTCAATTTACTTAACTTGGGCTGCCAATGCTGCTCATGGCAGTGATGAATGCCTATATACACTACTCGTAGTTTAGGCTTAGGCAGCTTAAAGTAAGCCACCCAAACCTAAAACAAGTCCTACAAAAGCTTCTTCATACCCACTGGCTGTCTGCTTTCTACATTATTACAGAAGGTAAGTATCCCCTCCTTTTTGTAGTAAGGGCTCTGTAAAATACCTTTTTGTAGATGGTGGTAGGGGACATGCTGAGAAAGAAAGGGGAGTACCAGAGCTTACACTTCAGGTATTGTTGTTTTTTCTAGACCAGACCATGACATATTGTCACTAGAGCTGTAAATGTTCCCCTCCAATATATCTTCCAGTTCATTGGCAATCAAAAAACCCAGATACAAGGGCCACACTTGCCACCAGGCCTCATCCTTCCTGTTGTACTTCTATACCACATGAGAGTCAAAGGGTAGATATAAAGACCTTGCATCAGGGCTATTACAACCAAGACATTTCCTGTGCTTGTGGTATTTCTGAGACTCAGAAATGTCTGGAGTGGCATAAAGGGCACAAACTGGGATGCAAAATTACAGTCTGCATCTGGAGCAGATGCCCTGTTCAATCAAACTAGCTACATCACTCTTCTTCCAGCAGTTTTCCTAAAAGATCACTGACATTTTACTCATAAAAACCCTTGCTGAAGATCTCTTGCCTTTAAACTACCAAATAATAGAAAATCAGGACACTAAAAAAAATGCTTGTCAAAACTTCACAATGTAAATTTTAAGCAGTCTGATGTTACCATCATCTTTTCAATGCCCATACACTGCTCAACTGGAAACCTCTTGAAAAAGAGTCTTTGTTTCCTTGCATTTGCCTCTAAAGTACCATATGCATACATGGCACTGCATAAAATAATGTAACAAATATGAACAAAATATAATGAAATAAAAAGAAAAAAGATAGACAGGCAAGCAGGCAGACCACTTTATGTTATAATTTTCTCCGAGAATGATTAATATTTGAAGTTCCAAAAGAAGACACAAACATCTATAATATACCTATTTCCTCAGTACTAAAGCACAGGGGATATTTCTTTTTGACCCTGACTAATTTCCAACACTGAACTGAGAGGATCAATATCCCTTCCAATTTTAGCAGACATAGTATAAGTGTAGATGATAAATGTTTATACTGGGGTATACATTTTTGCAACATTTTCAAAATCTCAACAGGATAAACACCCATATATTATAAATCACATTTGGTTCTTATCTTCCCTGCTAGGAGTTTATCATCTTGACATATCTTATCTTTGTTCATCTGTCCATACCCTAAGATTGCATCCCTTGTCTCAGTTTAACTGCTTTGTGCTGGACTTCACTTCTTTATATTCTCATAATTACAATGCAGGTCCAAATGTCAATATGCATGGGCACCTGGGGTAAAGTTTTGCTATCTATGGACCTGAATCAGCAGAGTGCTTTTGCGTATGCTTTGTTTTAATGACATGAAGTCTCACTGACATAATGAGACTGGAATGCATTCTCAAGTGCTTTTGCTGAACAGAGACCTAACATCTAACACCTCTGCCAACTACAAAGTTGTCCAGTAAAAGATATTACATCTCATTTGACAAATTTAGCCACCAGAGAGCTGTCTGGATGCAAGTACTGGCATTTAGGAGGGCACTGGACTCTTCACTGATCTGAAGTTTGTAAAGATGATGCAATCTTGAAACCTTTACACGTCATCAGTCCTAGAGAAGTCAAAGGCTGCAAGATAAAGCCTAAAATGACTGAAATTTTCAGGCTTTTCTCATTTCCTTATAAAAAGCTGTGAAACTGCTTAGAAAGAGCATAAAATTCCTGCTATAAGCCATCACTTGTTGAAACATATCTTTTGGCCATTCAGCATTTCTTGGCTAATCACATGTTGCAAGCTCTAGGGCAACGTAATATACCGAGAACAAGAGAATATGCCCTATTTATCAAACAAACCATGTCAAGGAGAGAGTACTTCTTGCAATATCTGGATAAGCTTCATGATAATAGCATTCTCAATTTATATGCTGATGAAAGAATTATGGTAGATTAAAATCAGCAATTCAGAGCTGAAGTGTGACTTCTGGAAAAGTCTCTATTGGTTGGACTAGCCTTGCAAAAATCACCATACAGTTACAAAGTTACCTCAACCACCCTTCAGATGGTGTTTGGAGGGGGTGGGGGGGCAAATGTGAAAATGTGCTATTTTACATGACAGAAAAATTATCAAGTACAAGGCAAGCAGATGAGCAGAATTTCACATGGCTACACTAAATATTGTACACTAAATATATCTTGCAGGTGAGCAGACTGGTTTAGGTCTCAGAGTCACAACTGAATGGAAAATGCTCCACAAAAAGAAAAGCACTGGTGCTTCTTCCATCATAATGACTTAGAATGTTTTATTGCATCTTATCCCATATTTTGAGTACAGAAGGTTAGAATTTTTTCTCCAAAATACATTTTTCTGTTGGGAAAATGATAGTTGGTTGCAACCACCATTTTTCACAGACATATATTGATTTTGACAAAAATGTCAGGGCCAGGATGGAATATCTTATCAAAACTAGAGAGTGACATCACAAATAAGCACCCTAAATGCCATCAGGCTATTATGGAGTGGATTTCTCTCTCTTCTTGTCATTTTTTTCATGACAAAACTGCAATAGAAATAGTTTTAGTTCTGATGTTGTGAAAAGCTCACATTTTTAACAAAAATAGAATTCTTGTTTTCTGGGCAGTCATAATTTTGGGAAAATGTGTGAAGAATTTCTAAAGAGCAACATTAAGACTAATGTGAGAGTGAGTAGTAGGCACACATTTCCCTAGACACAGGTCCGTTTGTCTTGGTTCTTTTTACTTCTGGTTCAAATTTGAATTTAAAATCCCTCTGCAGCTTCTTGGATGGAGTCAGCTATTTCTTCCCCGTTCTCACTTATTAAGCAAGGCATCAATTAACAAAATTAGAGACACAAACAGCTTAGCAAGTTTGCAAGCATCTATTACTCCCAATAGCTGGTCAGCATCTTTTTTTTAACTATATATTATAAATTGTTATATAGGATTTGATGCAGTACATCACGTGATTTGTTTATGATACCAAATACTCCTGTGACTTTTTATAATTTATAAATTAAGCCAGGAATAACGAGTATTCTCTGCTTGTCTTCACACCTGCATAGCAAAGAATTCAGAGTTCCTGAATCAGCTCAATTACTACTGGTTGCATTAGAGCCTAATTTTTAGAAAGACATCTAATATTAATTTAAAATTTCAAGTAGTGATTAAGCTACTGTATCCCTAGGTATTTGTTCTAATGGCTAGCAACCCGCACAGTTTAAACCATGCACCTCAGTTCAAGTATCAGTGTATTTCGCTTCAGCTGCCAGCAACTTTAACATAGACACGATCACTGGGAAATGGAATACAGGATGACATTCAGCCTAGGTGAAGGCTGAGTTCAAGGCTCTCCACAACACATGAACTCCATTTTATAGGGGCAGAGGTGTAGTTGGGCAGCTTTGCATATGGAATATCCCAGAGGCCTGGAGCAGTGCTGTGCCAATCATAGCAATGTGGTCAGCCACAACTGTGGTGGCAGCTATTTTTGCAAGCTCCAAAGAGGCGCTTATGGCTGCTGCCCTGGTCACCCCCTCAGTTATGATACTATATAGAGTGAATCAACTGGAATAAATTTAGTAATTCTAATATAATAAAAG